TTTTTCTTTCATTTTTACTTTCTTTTATTGAGTATACGGAGATACATGTTTCAGTAAGAGGGAAGCGGACAATCAAAAAGCTGCTCTACAATAGATAATGGGTAAAGTCAAGGTGGGATGCGAGCACAAGTCTTCCAGGGTGATAATTTGGTGATGTGACCACCAGGCCACCACCGTCCCTTGACACGTTTTCGTACTATCCGAACACAATGGGCTAGGAATGAACCACATTTTCGTCTAAAATCTAAATTTCCGACCATTTGTTATAAACATACCAAGGAGATAGTGACCGAAACTTTTCTCCCCTCTAACCCCGACTAATGTGACGTATGAATGTGTACCACCAGAAAGCAATGAACCCCATAACATGAAAACCGCATTTTACCGCTCCCTTTTTTAACATTTGAGGACGCCTATTTAGTTTCCATCACCTCGAACCTCTTAATACAGCTCAATTGTTCGGATTGCCTTTCGTTCAGTTTAAATCATTCATTTCTATCATATCTGATTATCTTTGTTCTGTTATAATTTTTCTGCATTTCGGAGAATTATGAATGGTTAGATAACATTGTTTTCTCTCTCCGTCGCTTCATTTTCCTTTACGATTATGTGACAAATCATGTATTTTACCCTTAGATCTGTTATTCGATAACTCGCACCCTAACAATGATGGGCATTATTGGTCAAGTTCTTATATCATTCTATCGCAATCAACTAGTATTTAGGAAATATTTAGGAGATATTTCGATGTAGTGTCCCCTTATCCATTCTTCGTTATCCTTTAAGAACTAGGATCATTACACAAAAAAACTCCCACTATATTTTACATGCGTACCTTGTCATCGACAATGAATCGTTTCATCCCAACACAACAGATGGTCTCAGTCGAACGGACTGTGGAATACATGGATTTGGAACCAGAAATTACGGAATCTCCCGTGATGCAACCACCGATCAACTGGCCATCTCAGGGAAAAATTGTTTTTGATGGTCTATGGCTTCGTTACAATAAAACCGCATCTTGGGCTTTGCGTGATATCACACTGCACATTGAACCCGGTCAAAAGGTCAGTGTCTTTGTCTGATAGCAGATGAGCAGTGAGGAATTGTTTTCGCCAGTGAAATTGATACACTCTGGGCTTATTGTGATGCACAGTAGACCAGTCTGAGCTCCGCTGTAGGTACTGACGGAGAAATATGAGTTCATGTGAGATCCTTTTTGCCTCGCAAGTGATCGGAAGCGTTTTAAAAGTTTTCAACCATCCTGATGAAGCATTTCGTTTGACTCGAAAGTTGCATTGAGTTAATCATGCGTGGTTATCCTAGAACTCACCACAGTACCATAAAAAGGTTCGTTGAAAAGTTTTAGAATATCATGTTTGGATTAAGGAGTGATGGTTCCAACTCCCATCCCGAGAGTTCACCCTTCGAGTTCTGACAAGGACAAAAAATATACGCACTGTTGACGAACCCCAAACAGGACGAAACAACTATCCAGTCTTTGTCGGTCATCACAACTAGTTCCATCATTTATTGAAACTATTCGGAATTATGAATGCAGCAAAAGAGGTTTTTCACAGTATCGCAAAATTTACTTAATCGATAGTATTCTTATTCCCACCTACCTAGGTAGCTCTGCCTAATCATCATTGACAAATCTGCCGCCGTTAATTGCTTTACCTCAATAAATTACTTTGAGAATAGACAGTCAGTAAAACACATATTAGTTAAAATCCCATTTCATTTGTTTAAATAATTCTCTTTATATATCTTAACCCTACATGTAAAGAAGTCTGTTGTGATTTCGATTTCGTCGGAAACTATTGTTTACTTGCTTGCTCTGCGCCTATTGTCAGGATGCATATAATTTATGCCTATCTGTCCCACAAACAATCCTATTACGTTCGGACAGATTTCATGCGACTCATGCACTGTGAGATAGTGCAAGATGACTGTTTCACAACCTTCTACCACTTTGGCTTACCTCGATTCATATAAAGGCTCCTTCTTCAAACCTTGCTACAGGATAACATAATGCAAATTTACTGTTACCACCTATAAACTCGAAGGAGGTCTCGAATGGCTATCCTTATGGTCTGTTAGTGACGTTTTCTGCATGCATACTTTGTTTTTAGGTTGGTATTGTCGGACGGACTGGTGCTGGGAAGAGTTCACTCATTTCTGCCATATTTCGGCTTGTGGAAGCCGAGAGCGGTCAAGTTCTGGTGGATGACGTAGACATTGCGCATCTTGATTTGCCGGAATTGCGAAAACGTATCTCGATCATACCACAGGTAAAGAACAAACGTAACGGTCGTGTACCACCGACAAAAACAGTCTTTTTCATCTTTTTTAAGAATGATTTCTTGCTGCAATTCAAAGGGTCTACTAAACACTAACAAAGTGAGACAAGATTTAACTTGATGTTTGAGTCAATCAGATGCCAAAATATTTGCATGAACAACAATTTTTTTAACAAATTTTGAAACGTGGAAGGTGAATCCAAAATGTCACCCATCACATCACAACACCTCACCCTTTTCCAATCGCATATGTTAATTAGTCGAACGAATATGCGAGCCTTGGTAAGCAGAACCTTAGGGAGGGTCTGAAGCCGTATTCTGAGATTGGCTTTTAGGCATCAATTACTCAGAGAAAATCATAGTCATAAGAACCTCCCGAAGCCGCTGACCGGCGAAACGCATTATCTCATACATTAACTATTGATGATGATGGTAGTGAAAGTATCAACATTCTATAACTTAGTCGAATAATCTGTTTAAGCTGTAGTACATTTTCTATTTCTTTGATATAAGCTAATTGTTAAGTCATCATCAAGGCAGGCTATCATGGGCCAATCAAAAATAATCAAATAACAAATAGGAACTAGAGAAACAATGGCAAAGTTTAACCACAAAGCAGACCAGATAATCAGCGGATGAGCTACCGTGTTTGACCACACCTTCATACTGGACTTAAATGCAAACATTAATTTGATGATCCAGTGATCATAATCCCACTTCTTGTCTATGTAAAGTCGCTAAATAAAACCCATTTTCATATTCTTTGAGAATCTATCCTATAAACCAGCTTCATTCACCGATGGCATTTTTGTAAAAAGCCTATCGTAGTTGGGTAACGTTGCTGTTTGATACAGGGTTAATGAACAAAAGAGACTTTTGGACTATGGGTCGGAAGGTGTCCAACGCTGAATAGGATTGAGATAAATTCAGCAAGCGAGCCACCAGTATTGCTAGCGAGTGCAAGCCCAGAAGAAGATAATCCTAGACAGATCTATAAGTTTGCACGAATTATTTGTTCTTAAAGTGAGTAGTATTTGCATTTCAAACAAAACAACAGAGTGGTGAACAAGCTCGTTTTCAGATATTCGTATTCATGCCAATACATCTCAATATATATCACTACTTGGGAATAAAATAAAATAAAATAAAAACAGAGCACTAGAAACGATTTCATCGTGAGACCGGAAATCGGGCTGACCACGATCACATGTTTTTGTTCACTCATCCGATCATCGAGATTACTCACGATGCGGTTTGTATGGGGGGTGGGCCAGGGAAGCTTTAGCGCTTGCACAACATCCGACAGCAAACCTGCCTTTATAATCGCCCACGACCTTTGAACAGGGGTCAGAAAGCCTCGCACACGTTCACGGTGTGAGTTGTTTCAGCTAGGTGTGAAACCACTGCACTGGTAGTGACTTAATCGTTCCGGTGTTCAGCCACGCGGGGTGGTGTTCACGAATCCGTTCGAACAATCGCCTGACCGTGCGGCCTATGTACGTTTTACCACAGGAGCAAGTAGATGAGTATACACAGAATGAAACCGCAGAGTCTGGAACTTTGTCCTTCAGTCGCAAACACACAGTTGGCTTGGACGTGAACAACACACGAAGCTTAGATGCATAGAGCGTCTTATCGATTGCATCAGGTAATCTTCTTTGTATGATCTCGGCTGATGTGTCCCCTTGGAACAGTAAAGAAATGTACACGGATTTCTTCTTAACCTCCGTGTTTTGTAAAGAGTTTTCCGTGCATTGAATCATCTTGTTGATTAAACGCTCCGGATATCCGTTACTTGCAAAGATCGATTTTGCATTACAGAGCTCTTCTTCTAGCGTGTCCTCACTGCATATCTTTCTTGCCCTATTCGCTAGACAGCGAATCAGGTTTCTTCGGAAATGAATGTATTGGTCTTTCCATGTTGTCTTTCTATGCACGGAACGCTGCACTGAACCATCTGATCGACGGGTGATGCAGACATCTAGAAATTGAGATGTATTGGCATGAATACGAATCTCTGAAAACGAGCTTGTTCGCCACTCTGTTGTTTTGTTTGAAATGTGCTCTGTGGGATTCTTTTAACATTTGCATTTCTCAAATGACCCTCTGAATTTATTCCGATCAGTTCACGTAAAATTCAATTATTTTTCTAGTGTTCTTTCTTATTCTAACTCAATGCATTTCAAGCTCCTTTACAACCCCGGGGTGTATAAAAGTGAGTTAGTTTTGGCATGAAACTATTCAAAGCTTGCTTTTCAGTTGCTATGGTCTCCTAATCTTTAGTTCGGGAAAATGGCCCTGCGTCCGGGATGATCCTACAGACCCTGCTTGAATGCCTCCTTTGGACTTTGTTATAGTGGCCGGAAAAGGGTACAGTGACCTACAAAAGTAGATCTTATGTTTAGCAATTTCAATGGCGAAAAACGTACACAAAACACAGTCTTTCAATCAAAAATTAAAATAGTGTATTGTTTTTGTGGTACATTTAAGTGATGCTTAAAAATATGGAGCAAAATTTACTTCGAAATGGTTCGGTGCACTGTTTACCCTATAGTATCTACTGTAAGAGATCTCCAAAGATATTCATCTATGAAAATTTGGCTTTATCGAGTAATGGTTGCATCAAACTATCTCTCTTACTTTATTGTTTACGCATGGCGGCGACAGAGGATAAACATGCATGCGAAGGTTAGTGAGCGGACAATCCACGAATAAAAAATATTGGTAAATACCTGAATAATACCCTCTGAAATGAGTTTGCCATATTTAAGTTTGAATATACCTATTTTGTATCAATCGATCATAAAACAAAATAGACAAAATGAAAAACGTTTTGATCCGCTGCCCGAAGTTTACCCCCGTCCTAAACGTGGATCTTCAGTTGATGAATCCGGGATGCTGCTGCTGCTGAGATCGAACTGTGTACAGTTTCTTAGTTTTTCAGCCCGCGCTTCCTTGGGTCCCCACACAACCAAAGTCCCCGACCAATCTGCACTTACGCTCATTCCGATCATTGCCTTTCTCGTGTACTTATTTTCTGTTTCTTTTTATTTTCTTCATTCTATTTCCTTCATAGGATCCTATTATGTTTTCGGGGACTATTCGCAGCAATTTGGATCCCGACGAGAGGCTCAGTGAGGAAGCTATTTGGAGTGTTCTGGCCTCGGTAAGTCCCGCAGACCACATTAAATATGTATAAACACACAGTTGTGTCCGGCATGTGTACATTGAGTGAACCATTGCTCATTTTCCGTTGATTTTCACATGGAATCAATTCGAAACTGTGTGCCAAAATTAAATTTGCCATGATGCATGTGTGTATCTCGGTGCATTTCGAAACAAACATCACTAAAGAGAACCCTTTTTACGAACACAGGGACTAGAGGGGAGTTAAAACGTGGAGAAAATCAGTTTAGTCTGAATTATGATTCACAATCCTCGTCCTACTATTTCCGATATTTCAGAGTTTGTTGGCTCTCGGCTTCTGTGATTCTTTCAGACTGAGATTGAATTTATGTCACTGACTAGTGTTCAACATGAGGCAAATCTTGTGAAACACTTTTAATCGTGAACTAATGATTGGGACAATATGCACACCGGTTTCCCGTCTGTCTACTGCTTTCTTGTATTTTGGTGCCACTCTGTTCCGGTTGTGTTCCAGTTGATTTGTTGGCCTTGTTTATGTAAATCAATTCGTTCACCAGATATAAAATGGTAAATCCCCGGCACGCACCACGATACGGAAGTTCCAATAAATTATTTTCAAAAATTACCCCAAAACCGCATTCCCCAAATGCATTGCTATTCCAACCCGGGGCATAATGAACCCCAGGGATTATTATATTATTAATATTATTTGCATTATCTGTATTATTGCTGGGTTGTTCGATATTAACTGGTGGATATGTGTTTGTATGTGAGTCATAACGTAATAGCTGAATCGCTGGCATGCAGGCGATCAGTGCCATCCAGTGTTTTGTCTCAGCATCTGGTTTACGGAGCTCATCTGCAGCACGAAATTGTAATAGTAATTCACGAACCCAAGGAAAAACCGCGGTGTTTCTTTATTGGTGGGTGCGGGCATTCACCCTATTGCTGCAATTTTGAACTAGTGTTATCAATGCTGGACAGCCCAGTCGAACACTTCTGGGGCCAAAATCAAAAACTGCAGTACTACATCTCAACGTTTTATTTGCTCATCTAATGTTTTACTAACAGCAATAATATGGTCCAGATATGCCATCGCGAACTCCAGACCAGCCAGTATTTTGTCCATTATTTGTTGAAAGGTGCTGGGACACACTTAACACCAAAGGGTGGACGATGGTAGCGTTACAGACCCATGTAAGTGTTGATGATAAATAGCTCTGCACTCATATTCCACCTCAAATTGTAAGTACGCATCAGAAAGGTAATTTATGGAAAATATTTTACCACCGTTCTGTTTGATAAACAAATCATCCGGAACAGGCAATGGATACCAATGTATCTCGAGGCATTAATTCAATCCGGGTGAAAAATTGGCACAGATCATTATGGTCCTGTTGGCCATCTTGGTTATAAAGATCGGTGCAGCCCATACCGAATAGTGAAACTGACTTCCAACTGCTCCAGTCGGTACAAGTTAACAAGTTCCATCGATACGTAAGGTATAGGCCGTTTTGGACAAAAACGGGACTAGTGCTGGAATAAACATATAAAAATTTCTTTGTTTTACAGCACAAACCAAGACCATAAGAAAAAACGCAGGATCAGTGAGTTGTTAAACGCGAGGGGGTAGCACTCATATCTGCACAGTTTGCTGACGCACCAATGATCAGTTGGTTTGATTTCGAGGTGGACTTGGTATCAGAAGGATCACAAATTTCATTGAAAGGAAAATGTCACGAGTTCAATTTATCTACTCAATCTATACCAAGCCAATTAAAATGACCAACTTTAGGTGTGCAGTGAGTGTCGCAAGAACGAAGATCACGAAATGAAAATTCACAGCTGAACTCCAGATGCCACCCGAGCAATATGGGTGGTTTGTAGAAAAACGAGTCTGCTCAGAAAATTCCAGGTCTACGGAGATGATGGTCACATCAGATGCTGTATCCACCTGTAGTTTCACAGTTCCATTTTCGATAGGAATCCGAATATATTTTTTAAGATATTTGTAATTGAAGGTGCTCATGGCAAAATGGTTTGCAGTTAACAAACAAAAGAATTGTTACTCCCAGAAGTTGACTGTTTTATTTTCCCCGCTTTTGTACCTATATTTTTCGTTCATCCATGATTATTTGGCGCCGTATTTGTAAAGATTTATATATATATATATATATATATATATATGGCAAAATGGGCCGCTACGTTTGGTGCTTTCAGTATGGAACGGTTTTGGTGTAGAGCCATGATGACAGATGATTTCTTTATGATCAACCTTACCACAGATTCTGCGCTGTAGACCCCAGTCGAAAATTTCACTGTCAAACTGTGTTTCATTTCTTTGACTCACTAAAGGCTCCTTTTCAATGTAACTTCTACAACGGGATCTGCTTATGCTAGATGCTAACCGTGAGCAGACACATGGATGATAAGTGGATCAACACGATAGAATGAAAGTCGAATAGTGCGAGACTCAAACACTTTCTCCGAGGATTAGCTCTTCGGTAAACGGCTTGTTAGCTATTCAGTAAAACGGAACGAAAACAATAGCAGTAATAGCAGTATTGTGCCTGGATTTATGAGCATGTATAAATTCGTTTTCCCAATCCTCTGTGACTCACGACGATATGATTACCACATGATTTTGTTGTCCCGAGATTCACCACTTTTCTTTTACGATATGGAATTTTTATCTAGGTTCAACTGAACAAAGTTATCTCCACCTTACCTGGCGGACTTCAGGCACACATTTGTGAAGGTGGGACAAATTTAAGTACCGGACAGCGTCAACTGCTTGCATTGGCTCGAGCCATCCTGGGCGGTAATCGTATTCTGGTGGTTGATGAAGCTACAGCGAATGTAGATCCCGGGTGTGTTTCATTTTCGCTGTTTGTAAATGAACCAAAGTTAAAACGCGTTTTTTTTATACAACCTACTCTAAGCATACTATTATCAAAAAGTACTTGACAAAATTACTTCAGTTTTCACGTGTATTTAGTTCAGTTTAATTTCGCATTAAAATTGTCGTATCGTAACGTAATGTTTCGGATAGATGGGTATTTTTTCCATTCGTGAGCATATTTTAAAGCTTAATTGAAGGAGCTGGTTGTTTATCTGTTAAAAGTCGGTATTTTTGATTGTCTATTGCATAATAACCGATCAGTCGATTTAGAAATAATCGATCCTTTCAGGGGCTGAAACATTCGTTTGTTTGGGCTTGCGTGAGATCTATTATCCACCCACTGATCTGACGTAAAAACTAGTGTCAATAATAATGCTGATAGTTATGGTAGAAATAACAAGAATGAAGAACAGAAAACGCACACCCTAACATCTGTGGAATTGCACAGACTATGCAATAAAAATATTCAATTATAGACTAATTTTCATTGAAGTGGGAGAGAAAGAGTAAAAGAAATTTGATCCGAAAAACTAGTAAGCACATCTGTTAAATGTTGGTAAATTTTAATGGCAGTGTGCATTAATTGACCCAATTGAAGTATAAATTCACACGCAAAACCCAAACACTCACAATGGTGACGGTAGTGTTTTACGCACTCACAAGCGACACTTAAGTAGAAAGCTCTGTTGATTCAAAGACTGTTCGAGGACACGGAAAAGAAAAACGTAATCAGCGGCTGTATCGGCGGGAGTATAATTTGAATTTCTGATTGAAGGACTGATGCACTTTGTACAATGTTACTTGAACTACTCACATTTCGTGCAATTTCTCCTTAGGCATTATCATGTGACAGACTTACATTGTCCATTGTGACAAATAATTTAACGAATTGAGCAAAGCATTTGCATAAAAAGATCATGTCAGTTCACTCGATATGAGGTATTTGAGGCATATGCTCAGTGAAGAAGTACAAGAAATAGAATGTTTCCGACTGCTTTGTTGTCAAACTCCGTCCGTATTTCGTAAAACTATATAAACTATCTTTTTAGTACGGAGGGACTATACGTCGAACTTGTTAACATGTGTGTTTATGAAGTGGAGGTATTGACTAATGTACGCCAATAAACACCTTTTTATATCTCTCCCATTCTCGTGATAGCACGGATTACGTTATTCAAAAAACCCTGCGAGACCAATTTGCCTCATGTACCGTTCTCACGGTGGCTCACCGCCTGCACACAGTTATCGATAATGAACTGTTGGTGGTGATGGAAGGTGGTCGTATCGTCGAAGTAGGACCACCACATGAGTTACTCAATCCTGAACTTTCTCGACTAGACCGTGAGCAACTGGAAAACGATCTGCCACCTAGACCAGATCAACAAGTCTCAATGGCTGTACCAGTGACCGGGGTTGGCGCGTTAGCTTCATTGGTTCGTCAGACTGGGGTTGAAGAGGCCGCTGTCCTTGCCAATATGGCTCGAAACGCTTACATCGAAACACTGACACACAAGTCAAAAAAATGATTCGTCGCATCTAATATTCATTTTTCTATTGCTTCAACTCCGTACGATTTTCCATAGTGAAATCCACTTAGTTCATTCCATCAATTGTCCGTAAACTTTTGTGAGCATGCTCGTCGATTTCATATGAGTCTTAACTGTGCTCTTTTTCACATTTCATTTTCATCTTTGAATCATGCAGTTATTTTTTCATTGGTAAATTCAATTATTTTATACTCTTTTACCCAATTCGTTGGCGCCCTAGTGTGTTTTTCATTCTGATACTGGTGCATACTCTTCAAACGCACTCAACACCAAATATCCACACACCTACGCACACACGATCTAGTTCACATTCACTGCACGTACAAATGCACACACACACACACACACACACACACTTATATGCAATGATTTAGACCTATCGTGATTCATTGTTTCCCGTTTATTGCAAAATATTTCACTATTTTATATGAAGTTACTAATTTTACTTCATCACTCTTGTTCGGTATATTGCGATTATTCGCTGTTCTATGGGAGCACCACAGGGCTAGTATTCGATTTTCATGAGCAGTAGCACGGTACTTCCATAATCCGATGGCGGAGGTGGATGCACACTCCTGAAAACATGACCTGAGAAATTCTGTGCGATCGATTAGGCATGGCCAGCATCATCATTATGCAACTTGACCTGACTGACCCGCACAACGAATGTTGGATGTTCATATGTGCATGTTTCACAGATCTGTTGTTTGCGTAAAAGAATAAACACGACTTAAGAACAAAGTAACCTGAGGTTGCTGCATGATAAACTGAATTCAAAATCCTAAACCCTCAGGTGTTCATAAAAACTGCTGCAGGAAAAATAAATAAAATTAATCTTTACAGTTATGACGCCAAAATAACCACGGGTTAAAAGATAAATACAAACCCAGAAAAATAAACAATAAGAAAACACTGTAGCGAACAAAGCTTGTTTTCGATAAATTCCTCCTCGGGCTAATACAGTTATATATAGAGTTCAAAATTATCGAATTAGTGTAATGGTCAGATGTGAACATTTCCGGATAAGGTTAGCAACATTTTTACTTGTTTGTTGCACGCAGGTATGGCTGTTTTGTCTTTTTACTATTGAGATTGCAGACAAGAAAGGTACATTTGGGTCACTGACTTTATTTCGATGCCATATCCCGAAACGACCCCAGCCAACAGCATTTTGAATCTTGGGGGGGGAGGGGGTAGCCGGGAAACCCCGGCGGAAGCCGTATCTTAGCACAATTTCTTCAATCCTTTACTCCACGTCATAGCTTGCACATCTCACTATCCTTTACAGTCCGGCTGAATATCTGCAAATAATATACGGCAAGACAGACGTTCTTTGTATGACGTATTTCAGCTCAGACGGCGCAGAGAAATGGTTTTGCTCTATAGAACACTGTTTGACATTTAAACACGTCGTCTGACCTCATCGTTGCGAACGCGACACTCCACCACACGTGGATGATGTTGCGCAGAGAACTTTTGTCCAAGATGAATAGTCATTGGACATGATCTACTAGGATAGTCCGATTTTCGCAGCCATAGAGTAACACGGTGCCTACCGTTGCGCAATACACATGTTTCAGTGGAAGAGGTATGTTGCGCCGGTGCCAGAGATGCCACAGATTAACAACCGGTAATCTTGCTTCGATTAGGCGTCAAGAGATTTCCTCGTCCACACCCCCTCTAGCCGCCAAGAAACTCCCTAGGCAGGCAAAGCTTTTGACTACTTTCACGGGGTCATTACACAAATAAAGTACAGAATTAAGCTCCAGATAATCTTGCAGCCACACTCTCTACTTTCAGGTCAGCCCAGGTATCTCAAGACGGAACGGGCTTTCGCCAACCAACTGTCCACATTTTTGCTTCCGTAGGAAGCTTCCTTCCTTTTTGGGCAGGAAACTGGGTCCAGCACGATATCTGTGAGGGAAATTACTTGGGAAACAAGAAGCATGTCAACTCTAAACAACCTCAGACCCCGCTGTTTTACTACCTCTGGGTATACTTGGGTCCAAACCATGTCTAACTGCCTCTTTAAGTCGACTGTAGTCGCACGTTCTATCAGGTGCGGTGGCAGATGACTTCATCTATCAACCACCCGGTTCGCGTAGAAGTTAAACCGCACACCGAGGCAAACCGTGGGTTTTGAGTACTTTAGACTGTGTCTCCTTGTGACTTTCACGGCGGTTCGGCGCTTATGGCAGTGAATCCTTTCATTATCTTAAATGTTTCTATGGGGTCAATCCTAAAGTGTCTTCTTTCCAAAGAAAAGAGGTCTCGCGCTTCAAGCCTCTCTTCATATAACCCTCATGCCCGAGAACAGCCGAGTGGGTAACATTTGAACACCCTCCACTCACTAAATGCCTTTCTGAAGGTAGGGTGCCCAGGCCTGGACACTGTATTCTAGGTGGGGCCTCACTAGTACTTTATGCAGCGGGATAAGGACTTCTGCCCTTTCGAGTGGTCAGTGTATTTCTCAACTGGAATAGTTGACCTCTCGCCCTTTGTGCTGCAGCCTTGCACTGTTTGCCCGGCTTGTAATTTTCGGAAACTATTATCCTTAAGTCCTTTGTTTGGGCTACGCGCTGTGGTTTCCACCTCCATGCTTACTCTAGTTGAACCGCCGTCAGTGTTCAATATGTGGCACTTTGACGGGTTTAGGTCTAGGTCCCACATCTGAGTCCAAAGGATAGCTTTTGTTAGGTCTTTCTGTAATTGGTCTCGTGGGCCTGAGTTAACTAGTTTTACATCGTCAGCAAACACGAAAGTCGGGATGGACAAACCCCTAAGTCATCGATGTACAACAGGAAAAGTATCGGGCCTAGAACGGAGCCCTATGGCACCCCACTGGAGACTTTCCCCTCCGTCGATAGTGCCTCTCCTACCCGAACCCTGAAGATCCGCCTGATCAGAAACGCGCCTATGCATCTAATAAGAGTCCCAGGAAGGCCAAAGCTCTGGAGCTTTTTAAGCAGTAGTCGATGATTAAATGAGTCGAAAGCCTTCCTAAATTGCAAGTAACAAGCTTCGACCTTTTAGCCTTCATCCAACTTCCTTGTGACTTCATCTAGGAAGCAAAACAGGTTGCTGAGACGACCTCTTTTTGAGGAACCAATGATGGGTTGAGGAGAGTAGTTGTAACACGCAACATGCTCACCTATTCCTTTGTAACTATTGTCTCAAGTGCTTTACAGAGGATACTAGTGAAACTAACCTGTCTGTAGTTTCCTGGCGCCTTTCGGTCACTCTCATTGTGTATCGCCATATTTGTCACCGTCCTCCAGTTTTCTGGTATCTCTCCGAGTCTTGGGGTTTTCTCGTAGTTGGCACACACGGGAGGCGCCACAATCTCTGCGAGTGGCTTGACAGTGGCCGGATGTGGTCCATCACTCCACGCTGATTTGCTAGGTTTTAACTCACTGCGTACTTTGAGCTCTGTCTACCTGTAGACCACTCATTGGAGGAGCTCGTACTTGTGGCACATGTGAGGGGTAGCTGCGCCCATCATCCATTTTATGAACGCTTTCAAAATATTTCTTGAGTATCTCGCACTTCCCCGCCCACGATGACACTTCTTCCCCTGTGTGGTATCGTAGGACCCCAACCGATTGCCTTAAGGCCTTCGATTGTACATATGCGTAAAACATTTTGAGCTTAATTTTAGCTTGCTNCCTCAATTCATGTTTCAGTTTAGCTTGTTTTATAAGCTTGTTCGTGTAATTTCAGGCATTTTGTACACCAACCACCTGTACTGTCCTCCAAAGTTTGTGTAGTCCCTCCATTTACGCCCCCGAAAAGTTATTGCTCTCTTTATGGGAGTTGTCCACCATGCAGGGCCTTGAGAATTTCTCTTCGGTTGCAATGGCGCGTATCTGTCAGAGAGCTCTACTAGGCGTTCCCAAAGTACGCCCCATTCCTCCTCAACAGTTGCATCCTCGTTGGGCGGCCACCAATTGGTTGAACCAGCTTCTTGGAGTAGGCCGGACATATTCATTCGACCGTTGTTCCTGATGAAGTTGGAGGGGGGCTTTTCCTGATTTATGCACGTCCTAAACGTGATTACACTATGATCACTCTTGCCCAGCGGGAGTTCTATAGTCACTTCACTAACATCGTTCTCCACCCGGGTAAGCAATAGATCTAAAATGGACGATCTCTGCCTATATCTGAATCGAGTTGGTTGTCAAACATGTTGATAAAGTGTCTGCTCGTGGAAAAACCTTAGGAACTCCTCTTCAGAGGGACTATCTCCCGCATCAGCGTATTCCTAATCTATTTTAATCTATTTCGGGCAGGTTAAAATCGCCAACTATGATGGTTTTCGTCGTTTTCCTAAGTAACGTGCTTAGTGTGTTTATCGGCTGTCTGTTCTCTTCCGTTCTAGTCGAGGGTGCTCTGTAGACTCCAAGGATGACGAAGTGTCGTCCCCGGTTCCGAATAGTGTATCCAACTGCTTGCATAGTGGGGATGCAGTCTCAGTTCAGCGGTTTCCCATTAAGCATATTGATTATTCACGAGAATCAACACTCCGCTTCCTTTACCTACCTCCCGGTCTGTCCTATACACAGCAAAGTCCGAGGTGGGTGGGTGGGATGAGGTGATCTACGACGTGTCTTGGAGACAACCATGTTTCGGTCAGAATGACTACGTCATATTCTGGGCATCTGGTTTTCAGTTCTCCTCAATTATTTCCAACACTGCAGAAGTTTGTATACTACGTCTTTAAACTTCTTTGTCGCAGTGCTGACGCCTGTGTTTAGGCCATTTTCTTTATGAGTTTCCCTGGGAGTAGCACCCGAGGGCCCGGCACGTTTTTTACCGAGGTATTTACTTCCACACTGATTTCTTTTCTCCGCGAATTCTCACAGGGNGAGCCATTCTGTTGATGACTGTTTTCTCACAGTCCAATTCCGATTCATTCATATCCAGTTGAACGGAGGCATCGTTTAGTAACAACGAAGCTCCTATCCGTGGCTTTCTTATAT